CGAGACACACACAAACACGCGCAAACAAACCAAACATGCAGCCCTCTCTTAAGGCAATCGGGCATCAAAGTTCTAATTAGCCCCTACCGATATTGTTTTATCTTCTGCCTGTGTGTGCGTGCTGAGTGCTCTGGCTGAAATTGAATGTTTGTCTGCCTGCTTTATCTGTCTCTCGGCCCATCTGCCGGTCTGCCTGCTCATCCTCTTCTGTCTTTTCACTGTCTGGTCTGAGTAATCACAAGGCTGCTTTGCCCCCGCCGTGCATGAACCCCCCTCCACCGCCAGTGTTTACTCTCACTTTGTCCTTACTCCTGGCAGGCTTGTTGACTAAAATAGCCCCCACCCCCATTTTCCCCCTTTTATTTATTTATTTCTAAACATTTGCACAGCCTATTCTGTCATCCCACGCGTTTTCAGCTCCCGTCGTTTACCTCCCCCTGTCCGCATCCCTCTGGTCAGGGACTGTGCATGTTTGCACACATCTTCCCCGCGTAGTTCGGTGTGTGTTACATGGAAGGAGATGGAGGGTGGGGTGCTCTCTGAGTAAAAAAGAATGAGGATGACCTTTTGCGAGGAAGTGATTTAAATGATGCCCTGTCGTCAGCAGGAAGAGCACTGTGTGAATGTGGATGAGCAATTGTTGTGGAAAGGACGTCACACTTTTTGCACACGCGTAAAGCTGGGGGACAGCGCGCGCACACACACACACACACACACACACACACACACACACAGGTTCAGGTTCACATTTTCAATGGAAAATGTCTGGCTGTCTTAAACAACTGTTTGTGTTCGACTGTCTCGTTTATCTGTACTCGATGGGGGTGGGATGTTCAGGAGTGAATGGGAAGACGCAGGAGGAGAAAGAGAGGAAGAGGAAACTAACGGGAGGTGAGGAAGAAGAGGGGAAGGAGAGAAGAGAGGAGAGGAAGTGTGCAGGGGAGAAGAGCTGGATGCAGATGGGGATCTATTCTCTCCGTGCACACAGACAAGATGGAAATGAGTGGGCGTCTGTGACGTCAATCAGTGAACACACACACACTCCCCCTCCTCTTCCAGTCCCATGCTAATACATGCTTCACTGCAAACAGCAGCAGTCCTACGGATCACAGGCATAAACATCAGCACACACAAACACCATCTCCACACACACACACACACACACACACACACACACACACACACACACACACACACACAGAAGCACATTCAGATATGCAGAACTGAGTTTCATCTCTGAGCGGCTCGCGGAGCGCAGGATCTCTGCTCTGTTGTTTACACAGAAAGAAAATCTTGTTTGGCGCCACAGATGGCATTTAAAGACACTCAGATCTTTACCAAAGTATAAAACATAAAAAATTCTAGTCAGATTAATGTAAACATATATATGTTTTGTTCATTCTGTTAAAATTTCTTCTAAGTTTTTCAAACTTGTCAAGTCTTTGTTTGAACCTTCTGCAGAGCGCACTCACTTAAATTAAAATTTCAATAAGAAACAAAAAACTGGCATATAAGCCGACTCCAGCGCACGCTTACAGCCACTCTTGTTTTTGTGCAGACCTAATGGAAAGTTGCTGTGCGTATGTAATGTGGAATTATCTTCATTTTAATGGATGAAGGTTCCGCTGAATTCAGTCCCGGCCTCCGTAGACTTCTCGTGCCATCTTATCGCTGACTGAGGGAATCGAAACAAGAAAATATAAATTCTTCATGTATAACCAAGAATGTACACAATATCACACAAGACAGCATTAGGGGGTTGTTGGAAGAATGAAAAGAAGATGACTACAATTAAGGCATGCTATTGACGCACATAGATGGGTTATCTTGTTGAATGCTGGGTAACTGTACCCCACTGTTCATTTAAATGAGAGGGTGCAGAGTCTAAAAGGAATCCACCGCATCTTGTCTTGAACATGAAAAGAACTACTTTCTAAAAGCTGACATTTTTTGAAGGATTTGAGCACAGAAACTGAAAGTCGTCAGTGAATGTCACAATACATCATCAGCTACATAGCAGCACTTGTGCTGCTGTATGAAGCAAAACACTTGGTAAACTCACAGCAGCCACCTGCATGTTTTTCTCAGTAAAATGGGCCCCTCCCACTGTCGTAAACCTCCCTTTCCGTCCGCCTGATTGATCACCTCTTATGTAAGCCAGTGTCTTTGCCACACAGCCACCATTAAGATCCATTATGCTGAATTTAGTTTGCATAATTAAAAAAAGAAGTAAGGTCTCGTTGACCCGCGGGTTCCTGAATAAATCTGATAACTAAGAGTGAAGTAGGCAGGCGGGAGGCACAGACAGCCGCTCAGTAAACATAATTGTCTGCCACTATATTCCACATCGGTGCACAATTTTCCACTACTTTAAGAGGAAGTTAAAGCCATCGTGGTGCGAGCTGAGCGTGAAAAACATCACAGATGGGTTGGCGCCGCTCGGAGAGAAAGAAAGTGATATGATCGACAGCTTTGATTCCTCAAGGTTTTCTGATTCAGGGCCCATGTAAGGCGTGCATTTGGCAAGTTCGCCTTTAAGAAATCATCCATCCATGTCACAGAGTCGTGACGACACAGACTTCTATCTAGAGAAATGAAAAAAACTATTTTTGAAACACTCCACGCTGCCTGCCCAATTTTTGCTTTTAAGGATGAATTACCGGATAAAGTAAGAGCGCATCCGTTTCAGAGCGGGGGCGGCGCGTGTCTGTGTGTGGGGGGGATTTGGGTGTGTGGGTGTGGTGGGTAGCATTAATGATGCAGCAGACACTTGTCTTTCTGGCTGCTTTACTTCTTTGAGTATTTATCTCCCCCCCCCCCCCCCCATAATGTTCTCATGTATCCTCAGCTGGAAGAGGACTGAGTCACTGCAGCCATGGAAGCAGGTGGGTGGGTAGGAACACAGTGGATGGGAGGGCGAGGACATGGGTGTGGGATGTGGGGTAGTGGGGATGATGAAGAGGGAGGTTGTAGTGAATGAAAGAGAGAATATATGAATGGTGAATACTGTGTGTCCATTTTATTGCTCTGCACTGCTCAATCACTAAAAGACAAATTCTGTCTGCAAAGGCAAATAAAGCCGTCCCAACTGGTTTTGGACTCTTACAGTCGCTCACAGGAGACTTTAAAGGGTAATCGAGAGAAAGGAGCAGAAAAATTAATTCATGGGAATATGATCGGGGGAGTGGGAGCAGGGGGAATACATTTGTCGGCAGCCTTAATTATCTTAATACACACTTCAGGCAGAGCTACATGTTTCATCCCTTAAGCCTCCGCTAACCCCAACTTGATGCTTTGCTTTTCTTTTTTTACATTTTTTCCCCTGCAGAGGCTAAATGTGCCCACAAGCGATTCCAGATTTAACTCTGAGGTATAAAAAGATTAGGCAATGTGAGCATATCAAACTAGAACCCATATTGTGTTCATAAAATGGTGCTGAGAACATCATCTAACCAAATGTATTGGCCTGAGTGTGTGAGGGACAGAAAGAGACAAAGGCAGATGTGTGGGTGATGTTCTCTTTTTGTCTCACTGAGTTTGAAAATGTTTATTGAGGGTGGACGGGTGGGCAGACCATTAGGAAAATTGATGTGCATGCAGATGTGTGTGGACATGTGTGTGTGTGTTCCTGCTCTGACATCACTGCTGCCGTCACTGCAGCCACCTCACGGTGACTCCCTTGTGACTGAAGGCCTGACAACCTCCCACGCTCTCCCCATCAAACTCCCATGCTCCTGCTCCTCTCTCGCCTGGCTTCATCTATAAACCCACCCCCCTCCCACCTCACTCACTCCTCATCCCCTGCTTTCCGTCTCCTCCTCAGCTCCGTTTCTATATCCATACATCATCTCCGTCCACTAGCTTTTCACCTCACCCACCTTCTTTTCATTCTTCCTGTTTTTTTCCCATCTCTTTCTCCCCCTCATTTGGTGTGTGGGTCTTCCCTGTCTTCCGTCATGCTCTCTGCACCCACAGTGCTCCTTGTCTGTGTCTCTATGGAAACCCTGAGTGGACATGAGTAGCTCAGAGGTCTGTGAAACACTGATACAGACACTATTAGATCACATGCTCCCGTTTCCTCTCAGAAAGCCGCGTGCGTGTGCAAGCCCTACTGTGTGGGAATAGATGCTGCGTGACCATGACAATACAGCCTCCTCGCAAGATACACCTCGTCTCCCCCTGTGCCAATGACCTATCAGTGGTGTGAAGTGGGAGGAAAGGATGGAATGAGGGAGTAAGGAGGGAGTCCTATTGTTTCATTATACTGTAAATCTCTTCAATTACTAGCTGGGGAAAGGGACCACCTGATGCCGCCTCTGCACAAATATTTCCATCAGAAGAACACACACAAGGCTGTGTTACCATGGCTTCAGAGGACTCTTGACTTACAGTCATTTCTTAGAGACATACCTTAACCTTATCGCCTTACCTTAAAATATGTCCCCATCTTATACTATAGTGATTTAAATTGCTTTATGCCCTCATAAAGATGACAAGTCCCCATAAATATGACTATGTAAACAGATTTAGGACCCTGTAGTATCATAAATTCCAACCCATACAAACATACACACACACACCGTCCCCCTCCTCTCCTTTCTCCCCGATCACTCTCACACCTCATGAACCGTACTCTCCTCACATTTACACATTGTTGAGCCTGCTGTGTTGCGTAGCTCGTGCGTCATCTGTGTCCAAACACATCAGAAGGACAGGTGATTTGTGATAAGAGGCCTCACACAGACAGAATTTTACAGCTCTGGGTCGCTCTCCTGGGCACCATCGTTATTTGTCGGTCACGCTTAAGTGGATCGGTACAGAGCTTAATCACGGGGAAGGATACGTAAGCTGCACAGCATGTCATTTCGGGAGTGCCATGAGGTTATGAACGTGCATGCAAAAAGGCAGGAAAATACGATAGTGGAATTCTTTTTCTCTTTGCAGTCGAAGCATTAACCAATTTGAAAAAAGGGGAAAAAAGAATCAGTTTCACTCACATGTGAAGGTTTGTCGAGTCTCCCCTTTATTTTATCAAAATGTACATACAGAAACTACAACAGGACTACATTAAAGAAGACATCAAAATGGGCAGCAATAACAGGGGTCAACAACTGAACAAACACCCAACCCAGCCCCAGGCCCACCCCATTAACATCCCCAGTGCAGTGAGATAAAGACATGCCAATGATGTCTCACATTTAGGCACTTGATTTCCCTACCGAACCATCTTTGGTCATAGTTGCTGTTGCACGGTTTCAAACTGAGATTCAAACAGGTTTGAGGTGGATCCGAACTCGATTCACGTGGGTTCTGCTGCGAATCGGCTGAAGCCGATGTACGCTGAGAGGAGTCGCATGAGTTTTAAAGCAAATCGGTTTAGACAGAGCTGCATCTGCCAGGTTTAGAGATGACCCAAAGATGGTTTTAACCTGACCGCCTCCATAGAGTAAACCGCAGTATTAATTAAATTAACACTAGATGATACAATACTTCACATGATTACAGAAAAGACTCCACAACAGAAAGGAATCAAGCAGCACATCTTAACACAGTTTACCTGAAAACAACGCAGTGTATTTTCACACGATATACTGTAATCAATACGCTGTACAGTCTATTCCAAAGGCAATGTTGTTAGACTTTTTTGTAAGAACTAATCAGTCTTTTTACCACTGAGTATAATCTTGGAAAGTCTTGCAAAAATAGATCAATTTTTAATAAATTAAAAGCCTTGTTTTGATTGTAGGATGTGACCTTTTAAGCTACTCATGCATTGTCTAACTTTGTGTGTATACAGTAATATGCGTTACCTTGTATCTCTTCATGTATGTATGCATGTATGTGTGTCTATATGTATGAGAGTGATTTGATAAAAATACTGTACACACTAGTAGACTTATCCCTCTCTCCTTTTTTTGGAATACACCTCTTTCGGTAAAGGAATAACAAAGTTACATTAAACTGTTTAAGAAGCATAGTAGTCACACAGTATTTGGCAGTGAACAGTCCTAATTTATCCATGCACAATATCAACCACAGGCAAGGTCCACATTCTGAACAAACCCATTAAGAACAACACAGTTAAGAACATGGAAAGAGTTTACAAGAATTTAAGACCCTGGAAGTGTGTGTGTGTGTGTGTGTGTGTGTGTGTGTGTGTGTGTGTGTGTGTGTGTGTGTGTGTGAGAGAGAGAGAGAGAGAGAGAATGTCCACAGCACATTTGGTTTCCCAGGGAGACCAAAGGCCTATGACTCATGTAGTGCATACAGCATTTTCTGGAATTTTTAACAATATTGGAAGAATTATTATTTTCCACAAAGCCCAAATAATTACATATAATCATGTTAGAACCTTACAGAGTACTTGGGGAGTTTAGTGTAAAAACCCACTCAATCCCACCCCCATAGGTCTATTATAGACCAAACAGTTTATCCCTGGATTATATTTCCATTCTCAAGCTTTTTCTTTGGAGCATGCACCATCCCCTAGCTCAATTGTGTATTTTGTGTAATGACATGTATATCCATGCATGTTTTACACAAGTCCAGTTTGCGGGTGCAGGTGTAAAGGGTAAGGTTGGTACAGCAGAGCTGATCCCCCTTGGGGTATGTAGTAGCTGCAGTAGCTGGGTTCTGCTAGATAGGGGGCAGTGTGCTCAGCAAGGTACGGGGCAGGCTGGTAGAAGCACGTCACATGGTCTGTGTTGGGTATTATGTTCTGCTCTCCCAGAACCTTCAGTGCCAGCACTGTGATCATATTCAGTGTTTGACGCCTTTCGTGTCCCATCAGACACACTGTGCTGTCATCTACCACACGACGCAACGTCATCAAGTACTGGTACTTGCTTCTCTCCTCACCGATAAAATGATTCTTCAAGTAGGACAGGATCTTTCGCTGTTGTTCCTGCACGTCAGGGAAATCAATAAAAAAGCGTGAGCACATGTAGCGCTCCAGTGTCTTTATCTGAGTCTCGCTGGCTGGTCGGTAGTCTCGCACCAACAGGTTGCTGTATTTCAACAAGCCACCACCTCGAATCTCTTCGGGGTTCCTGGTAGCGATCAGGCGGTAGCGCAGGTGGTCCATGGCTGCCTCAAAGTCACCATACATGCTCTCCGCCAGGACCTCGACAGCAGGGACTGAGTCAGATGCCTGAGGAGAGTCACACTGTTCAGAAGTGTCTGTGGTTACCTCAGGGGCCTCTTTGTTCTCAGGCACAGAGTTGGCTGCCTCAGTGGCTTCTGGAGAGGCAGATTCCCCGGGGCATTCAGACTGAGAGTGAGGCAGAACATGTGAGGTGGAACTTGGGATAGTGATTGGAAAAGAGACAGGCTCAGTAACCTGAGGCAAAGATGAGATATATTCATGTTCTTTTTTAACCTCCAACTGTAAGAGAGGAACTCCCGGCTGAGGGGAAGACTCTTTAATCTGTTCATCACTGTCCGTGTTTAGTATCAAAGGCTCCATGTCTGAAGATACCTGAGGTACAAGGTCCTCCGACTCCACCGGTGGAGTGAGGCAGAGGAGGGGAGGGCTCAGGCAGGGGGAAGGGGGTGTGAGACAGAGCGGTGTAGGGCTCAAGCTGAGCATTGGAGGGGTGAGGTAAGGAGGTGAGCTGAGGCAGGATGAGGTAGGGCTGAAGCTTAGGGTTGGAGAGCTAAAGCTAGTAGCAGGGCTGACAGTGCTTAGCATCGGAGACGAGAGGCAGTGAGATGGAGGGGTCAGGCATGGGGGAGGGCTGAGGATGGGGGGCGGGGGAGTTAGGCAAGGAGGGGACAGACTGACTACTGGAGGGGTGAGACAGGACACAGGAGGTGTAACACAGTGGACAGGAGAAGCTGGACTGAAGGCGGACCCTTGCGGGCTGTCACTTGGTTGATTCACAGCCATCTTTTTGGTCTCTTGTTCTGTTCTGGAACTAGAAGAATCTGACTGTGAAACTAACATGTCTGCTGAGTCAAGGGGCTCTACTTGTTTGGCAGTTTCTGTAGGGGAGGACTGACTGGGCTCACTGAAATCCACATGTGTAGTTGGTGTTTCAGTAGGGCTCTGAGTAGCCGTTTCACCTGGGTCTTCTGTGGCTAACTGAGAAACCGGTGGGTCTTGAGGTAAAGCAGACATGGGATTCAGAGTAGAGGTGGAGATTATATCAAGGGCTGGATCCGGAGCTGGGCTAAAGTTAAGATCTGAAGCTAGGTTACTGGAAGGACTAGGTTCAGAATTAGTCTTAAAAGGAATGGTGCTTGTTGGGGTAGCTGTAGAGTTTGAACTGGAAGCAGTTGGCTCTGTGTTAAAGGCTATCTCGGGGCTCGCGTGAGGGTTTGACTCCAGGCAGGGCACAGAAACGAGTAACTCGTTTTCGGGGAGTGAGCTGGGGTTAGGACTGGGGGTGACCTTTCTGCACATCCTCCGAGGGGGTTTGGGGGATGAGTGTTTGAGCACCACCATGTGAGATAGTCTCTCTGAGGCCTTACAAGGGGGAGCAGAGGAGGTCTTTTTGTCAGAAGAAAGGCTAGGTGGTGGAAGTAAAATATCCTGAGTATCTGGAGGGTTAGCGGCATCAAGTGTGTTAGGTGTTTTTTCTGAGTTTTCTGTTTGTTGTGTGTTGTCAATCTCCAGCAAATCCTGTGCGTCAGGAAGCTGTGTGCTGCAAAGTGTGAGAGCGGAAGAGGAGGAGCAGGAACAATCAATACCCTGTGTGTTCTCTATGATTTCACATATTTCTGTGTCAGTTTTCCTCTCTTCTTCTATTTCTTCCTCTGTTTCTGCATTTTGTTCATCTGCTAACTTGTGTGAGGATGTACTAGTGTGTAGAGCTGGCACATGTTGTGTTTTATCTTCCTCACTGCTGCTCTCATACTCTCCGAAAGACTTAGATACGTTTGTTTTATCAGATTGCTCTGTACTGCGAGGGCTTTCTCTAAGGTTCAGACACTCTCCCTGGGTTTCGTTTGAGGTTTTTGGCATCTCAGACTGTCCCATCTGCTCTGCTAGTTCTTTCTGTTCATTAGGGGGTTTTGTGTGGTTAGCAAGTTCTTTCTGGACAGAGAGTTCTCCGTGGTTTGAATGTGCTGGTGGTAAGTCGTCACAGGGCTTCGCTTGCTTTAACTGTTCTACCTTTGTTGAGCCTTCAGTCTTTTCCAAGAGCTCTGGCTCATGTTCAATCTGAGCTGGTGGTTCAGCTTCCTCAGGGGCTTGTTTCTTTTCTGACAAAGATGTCTGGCCTGTCTCGTTTAAGTTTTCTCCATGCTCTGACACTTCCTTCAACCCTTCAGGTATTTTCTCTTTGCTGTCTTTCTCCAGTGCTGTGTGTTTTGTCTGGTTTGAATGTACAGTTTGTTGCGAGAATTCGGTCTGAGAATTGTTTTCCTGCACCTCATCTCTCTGTTTTATCTGGCTGTTTTGAGCACCTTCTTCACCGAAAATGTCTCTATCTGTGGGCTTTTCTGTTTCTGGCGCAGCTGTTTGATTCAGTAGGGAAGGAGAGTATTTATTCTGATTCTCTGCGGGCTGGTCCTTAACTTCAACCTTATTCATTTTGCGCTGCGAGTCCTTCTGCATGTAAGACTCTAGAAGACGATCCAGAATGATCTGGAAGGAGTCTACGCTGAACTCAAATTGCCGCCTGAGCGCACTCACAAATTTGAGCTCCAGGTTTTTGCCACTGTTGTTTGAGAGGGAGATGAGGCTCCAGCGGTCATGCTCGTTGAAGACTTTTACCATTTTCTGGACATAGGCCTCTTTCATTGTGGCGTTGCTGATCCGTTCCCTGTTGACTGCAGCAGGCAGAAAGTCCAGCAAGCAGCCCAGCACTGACTCTTTGATCACCTGGGAGGGCAAAAAGTTAACAGCATGACAGCTACAACTAATCACAACGATCTACTGAAATAAAAATCATTGCTGTGGTTTAGGTTTTGGTATAATCTAGTTAAAACAAGCATGATCGGTTCAGCTACAAATTAATTATGGTTAGGATTACAATATCATGTTTAACAGAACCCCAGTAAAAATCATTTGCAACCCCTACATGGCTTATTCAGTGCTGTCAGCGCAGGTAACTGGTGTCTAAACGCTACAGTAATCTCACCTGGAACTCCTCTTGAGTGGGCAACTCCACTCCAAAGATGATGTCCAAGTCCTTGTAGCTTGTTCCGTTGTCTCGGACAAGGACGTGGCTGGCCGTGGAGCCGTTCAGACGAACATCTCTAACTGTGATTCCCTGCTTCTGCAGCCTGGCCCGCACGGCAATGATGATGTCACGAGGACGCAGCTCCAGCGTGGGAAAATTCCCACGGCCGTGGATTGGAACCACCTCTGAAAGAACCTGATGGAGAACCTCCACCTGCTCAGCGTTCAGGCTGTGAAATCGCTGACTGGATTTCTTTTCAGACATGCTGCTGCCCTGAAGGGAGGGATGACAATGAGAGTTTATTACAGCTCCTCAATGAAATATGCTGTGTGTTTGTCTCTCTCTCTCTC